TTTCACAACAGGACTACTATGGAAGTGTTTTGCATAACTACACATCTATAACCTGTATCGAAATGCTTGCCTTTTCAATGAGGGTGGGTGGGGAGAGAGAAAGGGAGAAAATTTGTAACCCAAAGTTTTAAAAACACATGTTAAAAAAATTTTTTTAATTTAAAAAAAAAAGAAAATAGAGCCCAAGCCTGAGGACAACTCCAACTCAAGAGAAATCCCTTTGCATCAGAATATTTCTCTGCCAAGGAGACTAAGGGATAGGGACGAAGTGGTTGGGCACCAGAAACGATTTAAATTAGGAAGGTTTTACTGAGCAGTCTGGATTGGATAATGGCTGCTGGCAATAAATCTGTGCTTGCTGTAACAACTATGCGTTTCATTTCTAGACCTTTCTTTCTGGGATCTTGGGATACAATGAATTCAGAGCTCTGAAACCCAATTGGAACAGACCTCAATGAAGAATTCTAGAATAGCTTTTGAGGAACATTCAAGATTAAGGGGACCCCTTGGGTTCAAGTTCTCTGGTGCGTCCTTCTCTTTGGAGGCTGGAAAGGATCAAAAGGTCATAGATTTAGAGCTGAAAGGGATCTGAGGGGCCATCTAATCTAGCATTTTCATTTTACAGATGGAGAAATTGAGACCCAGAGCAGATCAGCAAATTACCCAAGGTCACATAGGTAGTAAACAGAACCAGTATTGGAACCGAGTTCTTCAGTCTCCAAAACCAAGGCCACTCCCTCCACTGTCCCAGCCCCCCTGTGAACTTTTGGACAGCTCTAATGGTTAAGAAGTTTTCTTTATGTCAAACTAAAAATCTACCTATTTGTGAATTCTGCTCTTTGCCCCTATTTCTGCCTTCTGATGTCAAGTAAAAAAAAAAAGTTTAATTCCTATTCCGTGACATTCCTTCAAATGTATGAAGACAGGTGTCATGTCTTCCCACTATTCCCAATCTTTTCTCCAGTCTGAATATCCCTGGAAGCTTTCTTTAGCCCTGGACGTCACCCCTAGAAAGTACCAACCAGCTTTGTGGCCTCTCTCTCTCAGATTAGCTGGTTCTTCTCAGAGCTTACATTTTAAGAAGGAAGCCCAGACAAGCCATTCCTTCATTCCTCTCCAGGCTGCAGAGTTAATTCTCTAGGACATTCTCTACAGTGTCCCTCTTTCCTCTTTCTTCCTCGCCTCCACCCCCACATCTTCCACTATTAGAATATAAGTTCTGAGGGCAGATATTTTTGCTCATATTTATATTGCTAGTGCTTTATACAGTGCCTGGCATATAGTTAACACTTAATAATGCTTGTTGACTTCTTTCAACCAACCACTGTATAGAATGGTGTCCCATCTCCTCACTGTCCTGGACACTTCAGTTTGTCAAGTCTTTCCTAAAATGTGGTGGACAGAACTAAACACACAACTCAGAATGTGGTCTGCCCAGGGTAGATCCCAACAATACATCCAATAATCCATCCCACAGGAAGTAGCAGAGCTAGGATTTAAACCCACATCTTCTGATCCTGGATCCAACGTGTTTTCCACCACACGATCCTGCTTCCCTCTTATTCTCTGTTGCTAGTGAAAACAAATAGAGCTGAAAGGGCAGGTGGGGTCTCTGGTAGAATACTTAGATGTTTTTTGTTGTTTTTTTTTCTTATCCACAGCATAGTTTGAGTTAGAACACACTGGTCTAGCTAACTTCTAGGCAACCTATCCATCACTGGAATTTTGTGGTTTTGTAAGGACAAGCCTCTTAGGTGGGGCTAGAAGATAGATTTCAGTTGAGTTGGAACAGTCTGAAACAAAATCTGCACACTAAATCTCCACTTATGCTTAGAGATCTCATGGATTTTATGTGATCTTTCTCAATGTCAGCTAGCTTTTATGGGTGGGGAAATGTCTTCTGGGATTGGAAGTCTAATGGGAGATTATTAGGGATGGGGAAAATACTATAATCGTAGCACCCTCTCACTCTCTGCCTCCATACCCAATTTTATCAATGAGGGCAATGTCAGAATCACAAATCCTATCTCCTGACCTTAGTTGCTCTCATTTAAAATTATTTGAGGACCTTCTAAACTCTTCCCCAGAGAAATCCGGAAGTCTCACCATCCTTGCTAGTTTGGGACTTGTTTTCTAAAAACAGCTTGGTGTGATGGCAAGAGTGCTAAAGAGTTAGGAGGCATGTCTTCAAATCTTGGAACTGGCTCCTTTCATCTCCTGTCCTGCCAGACTTCTGGTCCCATCAACGGCTTCTGTTCCCTTGGATCATTTCCATCATTTTTCCCTATGGTCCCACATAGGCTTCTTTCTTTATTTCTGTCCCCTGTTCTCTAGGGACACTTTCCAATCTTTCCTTTTGCATAGCAATGAACTAATCCATTGTAAGCTTCCTACACGTGTGGGGTATCAAGATGAGTAGGTAATTAGAACTAAGGTCAGTGTTCTTTTAGGCGATGTTTCCCTTCATGACTTCCAGGTTGAAGCTCTCTGCTCATTTCTAGTCTGTTCCTGCTGTTTCCTGTGTTTAGAATGCCCACCCTCTCCTTCTTAATTTGTTGAATTACTCTACAAACCTAACTCAAATCCTTCATGAAGTCTTTTCTGACCCCCCCCATTTGTTAGTGATGTTCCCCCTTAGACCTCACATGGTATCTTTGTTTGTACTTCTCTAATCTATTTATCATGTAATATTGTGTACTCTAATTCTCTAATTATGTCTTACCTCTCTACTAGAACATAAGATCCATAAGGCCAAGGGCTATCCCTCCGTATTTCCTCCAGTGCCTAGCATAATCAGTTAATAAATACTTGTCAAGAGTTGTCTTTCATGGTTATTTTTATAAATTCCAAATCTTCTTGACTTGCTAGCCTTCCTCTACTAGTAGTTAGTACCTATCAGATGATATGTTGTTACCATATGTTGCAAGTGTTTTTTCTTCCTGTATTTTCTATTATTTCCGTTTTCCTTCTTTACCTGCATGGTGTAATGGAAAGACCACTGGATTTGGGAGTCTGAGAACCTGGATTCAAAGCCTGCATATGCCACTTTCTGCCTGTATTACCTTGGACAAGTCACTTAATCCCTCTGGGCCTCAGTTTCTTCACCTGCAAAATGGAGGGGGGAGAAAGGCACACGTTCTAGATGAACTCTACAGGCCTTCCAGCTCTAACACTGATTCATGATCCTGCTCCCTCAGTCATGGTCCTAACTCACAGCTTACTTGGTTGTTTCCCCTGTGCTCCCCTTGCAGAAACAAAGCTTATTGCAAAGAACCATCCTTTCATTCTGATGGTTTGGAGTTCCTGACCAGGAACTTGAGAGAGATAAAACCCACAGAGACTTTCAGGAAAGGATATCACGAACTGTTCTGATATGTTCCAGGTGGTCCCTTGCTCTATGAAGTGTTACTCCTCAATCACATGAAACCTGTCATTTGTGAAATTAGTTTATTAATCTTGAGCACACTTAGGAGGGTGATAGTGTCAGTCTCTGAGGTTTAAAATGGGGTGGATTGGAGGGCTTTGGAGTGGAGGCCTGAGTTTGAGAGCAAGGGAGGGAGTGAGGTGAGCTATAAAGGCAGGGTTCTTTCTCTGCTTGGGTATAGGTGCTCTGTAAGTAACTGGGCTCTGTTGCTTGGCAACTGATGGTGCCATTAAAGATAAAGGCACAGAGAAGTGGGCAAGCAGGATGGAGCACTAAGCAGCATCCTCTTCCTGAAGTATCAGAGTTTCCCTGGCCTCAGGGCTCTCTGGATCTTCCACAGGAATTCTTGGTGGCTCTAGCTCCAACCCTGGTTCTGCTTCAACCACTGCCCCTGCCTCAGGCTGATTTTCAATGCCCTGGTTAGGGCCCAATCGGGGAGGCTTGGTGGGAGTAGGTGGAGGTGGGGCAGGGCCCTTGCTCTTTCGGGCGGACAGTGCCCTTCGAAGGCTCTGCACCTTCTCTAGGCCAGTACGCCGAAGCCGCTTGGCCCGGGATTCCACTGGCTCCTCATCTGAGCTCTCCCCTTCTTCCAGCTCTTCTAGGGTCTCTGGTCCCAGTTCCTTCTCTTCTAGCTCTGTGGATTCTGGCTCCTTCTGAAAAGCTCTGGCTGGGATTTCTGCCTCCTCCTGAAAGTGAAGAGCAATGAACATTATCTTCCCAGCAACAATGTCTTGGTATAGTTGTTTAAGATGTCACTTCCAGAAGCAATACTGACCATCTGAGCTGCCACCTCAATATTATGCCTCTGCAACCCTCCCAAGCCTTACTCCTGCCTAGGAAATACTCCTGGCATAATTGGGGCTACCCTCTTGCTTCTACAGCCCCAGAAGTGGATGGAATGCCTACAGAAAGATAACTGAATCTAACTATAATCAGGAATCTAGGCCTTATGAGTTAAGTTCACTTAATGGCTAGAAGTCATTAAATTCCACCCAAGTCATTCCATTAAGGCTGAGTCACAGGAAGTTTTGTATTGGGTAGAAGCTACCCACAGCAGTATAACTAGGAATAATTGTTGAGAAAGAGGAAAAAATAATCCTTTCTGTAACTTTTTTCACATGGGGATGGAAGGGGGAGATTGAAGGTCATGTCCCATACAAGCCAGGAGATGCCATCGTCCACAGAAATGAACAACACTGTAGAGCGGGACTCTTAATCTTTTATGCAGCATGGATCCCTCCGTCATTCTGGTGCGATCCATGGACCCATTCTAAGAATAATGTTTTAAAACCCATAAAATACATACGATTATAAAGGAAACCAAATAATGTAATTTTTTGCCATCCAAGTTCATGGACCTTCTTAAATCTATCCATGCACAAAGAGTCTGTGGACCCCAGGTAAAGAAAAATCCCTGGTGTTGAGGGAGAAGCACTAAGCCAAGGAGAAGAGACCTGGGTTCTAGTCTCACCAATGCCACTATCTTGCTGCCTGCCTTTGACTAAGTCCCTTCCTCTCTTTGGGACTGTTTCCTCATCTGTAAAACGAGGGCGCTGGACTCCGAGATTCCCTAAGGTCCCTTCCAGCACTCAATCTGCGTCTATGCCAACGTGGGTCTGGGCGGGGCATGAGAGGCGGGAGCAGCTACTCGGTCAAGGGCTTGTAGGCGTGGCGCCTAAGGATGATGTCAGCATGGGTGCGGCTTGAAGCTGCACATCAGAGGCCCCGCGGCCGAGCGAGGAATGTAGGCGCGGTCGAAGGGACCAGGGGGTACACCGAGGGACTAGGTTTTGGGGCCTACTCTGGGGCCCTCACTGACCTTGAAGAGCTGGACGTGCAGCTGGCCGCGGGCGACCAGCAGCGCGTGGTTGGCCTCGAGCCGCTGCACCTGGAGCGCCCGGCGGACGGCGCGCTCGCGGGCGGCGTGGGCATGCCTGCTGACGCGCTCGGCCTTGGCCAGCAGCTGGGCCAGCGTGTTGCTGGTGGCCCCGTGGCTGCGGCTGAGCGCGCCCAGGCCGCTCTGGATGCGGCGCACGGTGCCCGTCAGGCCGCCCTGCCGCCGGGCCAGGCCGCCCTGTCGCTCCCGCACCGCCTCCAGCATGGTGGACAGCTTCTCCAGCAGCGTGACCACTGTCACCGCGTGCACCGGGCCGCGCTGCGCGGCTTCAGCCGCCGGCACGCCCTCCCCCATGGCCCCTCGAGATGCCCGCGCCCGAGCCCACTCTGATCTGGTCCTGTCCCGTTCCTCCCTCTGCGGCTTGTGCTATGCCCAGCGGTCTCCCAGGCTCCTCCCGCCGGGGGCGGGGAGCGCAGCTGGAGGGCCGGGGTCCGTGACTCAGACGGGCGGGGCCGGGGTCTTTAGGGGCTGCCCCTTCTCCAGCGCCACGCCCTGACCAAACCTCCCCACCTCTTTCTGCGGGGCTCCTCCCGCAGAGGGAGGCGGGTAGCAGGGAGCCCTGGTCCCAAAAATGCTTCGTCCGGCGGCCACGCCTTGGACAGCAGCCTGCCCCTTCGTACCGTGCTTGGGCGCTGTGGGCATCAGCATCTGCCTCTGACTCTGCCTGCCTAAGGAGCGAAGCGCCAGCTCGGGGAGAACAGCCCCTTCGGGGTTATAGCATTGTTTTAAGCTCGATTCCCAAGGACCACCTTAGAAGTCGGAAGCCCCTTGTGGGGGGAGGGGGCGGCAGTTCACCGCTCCAGATTTATTTTTAGGTTGTTCCTCTTCCTTTAGCATTCCTCCAGCCAAACTGACTGGCTCACTAGCTGCTCCCTCTGCTTGGCTTTCCCTCTGTGCCTTTGTACCAGCTATGCCAAATATCGATCCTCCACGGAGAATCCTGTGGGACCAACCCATTCTGGGGCATTTTCCGACTGGCACAGATTGTACTGGCATTGCTGTAGGGCGATTTTCCCACCACTCCTGATGTTTGGTTACTGTATTTGTTCATTTATCCGTCACTCAGACCCCTGTCTGTGTTTCCCATTTGGGCCTCCTGGGGATTTCCTGATTAACAGGCTAATTTCTTCTCCCATCCAGTACTTCCTCATTTGTCTCTGTTTCTTAAAATGTGATTGTTCCCCTACTTAGTCTTTCTTTTGAAGTCTCATCCCTTCTGGTTGGAATTGGCTTCCTGAAATGCTCATCTCCAGCCCAATTATAGCCAAAGGAATAATTTGTTTCGCTAAAACAAGCCAGCCTTGATGCCACAGCCTCACAGCTGTGTTGACCCAATCTTCCTGATCTGTTGAACACCTTAAAATGGCTAAATGGGCCACCAAACCTCAGGTTTATGACTAGGTCACCTCCCTGAAGAAAGTGGATGATTGGGAATCAATAAACAATCAAAAAAGTAAATAAAAATCTAAGCATCTACTATGCCAGGCACTGGGGATACAAAGAGACAAAAAAACAAACAAAAAAAAAAACAGCCCCTGCCTTCAAAGAGCTTATGATCTAATGTACCTCATGCAAACAATTATATAGAAAGCAAGCTATATACAGGATAAATAAGAGATGATTAATTGAGGGGAGGCACTGGATTTAAGAAGGGTTGGGGAAGGCTACCTATAGAAGATGGGATTTTAGTTGGGACTTGAATCCAGGGATGTCAGTAGTTAGAGCAGAGAAGGGTGAATGTTCAAAACATGGGGTACAGCCAGAGAAAATGCCCAGAGCAGAGAGGTGAAATGCCTTGTTCCTGGAACAGCCAGGAGGCCAGTGTAACAGGGTCAAAGAGTATGTGTCATAGAGTAAGGTATAAGAGAACTAGAAAGGTAGAAGGGGACAAACACCATTTTGTATTTGATCTTGGAGGCAATAGGAAACTGCTGGAGTTTATCAAGTAGGGGGTGACATGATTGTACCTGGACTTTAGGATAACCAGTTTAGTGGCTGAGTGGAGGAATGGAGGGGAGAGCCTTGAAGCAGGCTTACCCAACTACAGGCTATTGCAATAGTCCAGGTGTGAGGTGGTGAGGGCCTGCGCTAGAGGGTTGGCAGTGTCATCAGAGAAAAGGGGACATACATGAGAGATGTTGCAAAGATGAAATTGACAACAGAAATTATCAACAGACTGAATATTGGGGATGGGATGAGAGTGAGGAGTCCAGGATGACTCTTAGGTTGTGAGCCTGAGAAGGGGAGGATGGTATTGCCCTATACAGTAATAAGGGAGGGAAGAATGGAGGGCTTAGGGTAGGAGTGGGAAACCTTCAGCCTCAAGGTCACATATGGCCCTCCAGGTCCTCAAGTGCAGCCCTTTGACTGAATCCAAACTTCACAGAACAAATCCCCTTAATAAAAGGATTTGTTCTGTGAAACTTGGACTCAGTCAAAAGGCCGAACCCAAGGACTTTAGGGTGAAGATAATGAGTTCTATTTTGGACATGTTGAGTTTAAGATGTCTACTGGACATGTTAGGGCAGCTAGATGATGCAGTGGATAGGATGCAGGGCCTAGAGTCAGGAAGACTCATCTTCTTTAGTTTGAACCTGACATTAGACACTGTGTGATCCTGGGCAAGTTACTTAACCCTGTTTGCCTCAGTTTCCTCATCTGTAAAATGAGCTGGAGAAGGACATGGCAAACCATGCCAGTATTTTTGCCAAGAAAACCCCAAATAGGATCACGAAGAGTCATGTACAACTGAAAATGACTAAGCAACAACAATTGTACATCCAGTTCAAGATGTCTGAAAGGTAGTTGGAGATGTGAGGGTCAGCAGAGAGACTGGGACAATGTAAGTACACTGAAAAATCACAGATTTAGGCTTTTGAAAAGAAATTATTGGATACAGCCATGAAGAAAAACGCAAGAAAAAGGACAGAAGAAATGGAATGGAAACCCTGGCTTGGTACAACGGAAAGACTAATGCATATGCAAATTAGCTTTCCTCCAAATATTTGTTTCATTTAAGTCTTCATCTTCAGCCCCTCAGTAGTGTTTGATATCTTTCCAGATTCATCTCCCTCTACTTAGCACAAATCATGGATTTAGATCTGGATGCAACCTGAAAGGTCATCTAGTCCAACCCCCTGGTTTTATAAATAAGGAAACTGAGATTAAGTGACTTGGCCAGGGTCACAAAGATAGTAAGTGGTAGAGTACTAATACACATCCAGACCAGATCCCAAGTTCTTCCTGTCCCCATTGTGCATTGTCTCCAGCTTTTAACCCTCCTTAAATATGGCTATACCGTCAATGTTCTGTCCTTCACCCTCTTCTTTCTACATTATCTCTCTGGTATTTCATAACCCTCGTGGCTTGTATTACTGAATTTAAGTAGGTGACTCTTAAATCTTTTTCTAATACAGACCTCTCTAGAATTCCAACCTCACATTTTGCAAAATCATAGAATCTCAGTTGAAAAAGGAAGGAAAAGGCATTTATTAAGCACTTGCTGTGTGCCAAACACTTTACAAGTATTATTTCATTTAATCTTCACAACAACCTTGGGAGGTTGGTGGTATTATCATAATTCTTATTTTATAGTTGAGGAAACTGAGGCAGACAAATGTTGTTACTTAGAGTCACACACCTAGGATCTGAGACAAGATTTGAACTTGCATCTTCCTGACTCCAGAGTCAGCACTCTATGTACTACTTACATCAGCTAGCTATCTCAAAGGTTATCTAGTCTAACCAGTACCTGAACAGTTATAACCCTGTTCTACAATATCCCTGGTAAGTTGACATCCAGCCTCTTAGAAATCTTAAGTGTTGGACAGCTAAGGCAGCCTATTCTACTTTCAGACAATGGTTAGGAAGATTTTCCTTATATCTAATTAAAATATGCCCCTCTGTCTTCAGCCTATTGCTTCTTTCCTCTGGAGAAAAATAAAACATTAATCCCTCCTTCTATACGTTAGCCCTTTGAATATTTGAAAATTGGATTCGTGCTCTCCCCACCCCTAAAAATCTTCTCTAAGCATCCTTAGATCCCTCAATTGATCCTCAAGCACATAGCTTTTAAGTCCAGTTACCAGTCTGGGACCCCTTTGAATGTATAAAAACTTGTTTCTGCTTCCTAAAGAATGGCACCCAAAACTGAACACACTATTCCAGAAATGAACTAACCAGAGCTAAGTACAAAAGGATCTATGTCTATCATTTCCCTCATTCTGAATACCACTTCTATTTCTGGAGTCTTGGATTGGAGAATAAATGTTCGTTGAATTGAATTGAAATAACTTTATTGACTGTTGCACCACATTGTTGACTCCTATTGAGCTGGCTGTCCACTAAAACCCAAGTGTGTTTTTCACATGAATTGTTGTCCAGTCATACTTCCTCCATCCAATACTTATGCAGCTAATTTTTTAATAACCCCTGTGGAACTCTTATAATTATCTTTATTAAATTATGTTTTATTAGTTTTAGCCTTTCATTCTACCCTGTCAGATTCTTAAGGTCATCATCGATTTAGAAATGGAAATGATAGTCCAGGGGTTCTTAATCTTTTGTGTGTGTGTCATGGCTTTGACACACACCCTTTCGCTGTCTGGTGAAACCTGTTGACCTCTTCTCAGAGTAATGGTTTTAAATTCATAAACTGAAACACACAGCATTACAAAGAAACCAATTACATTGAATCCAAATATTTTTTAAAAGAAGTTCATAGGTTCTAGGTTAAGGAGCCCTGACCTAATTCAAGACCTTCATATTATAGATGAGGAAACTGAGGCCCAGAGAGGTTAAGGAACTGACCTAAGATAACATAGGGAATATCAACTGATATTTAAAGCTAAGTTCTAACTCCAAATCCAACAGTTTTTCTCATTGAACTACATTACCTCTTTTTGATCTCGGTTTTACACACACACACACACACACACACACGTGTATGTATATGTGTATATAGGTATATATTCCTATATACACACAAATACACATACATATGTATATAGTATGTATTTGTGTATATGTATATGTATATATACATACATTGCCTCATTTTTACCCCAGCTTTATATATGTATAGGCATACAGATATGTCTATATTATATAGATGTGTATATGTATATGTATATATACATACATTGCCTCATTTTTACCCCAGCTTTATATATGTATAGGCATACAGATATGTCTATATTATATAGATGTATATATATATATATATATATATATAAACAATGCTTCCCATGGCATCTAAAAATTTAATAAAGCATGCCCTCTATTTGTTCATCTAAATCAGTAAAAATGTTAAACAAGACAAGATTAATAACAACCCTGAAGAATTCTAGAACTCTCCATTCCAGTTG